TGCTCCCAACGTTCAGTTAGATTACAGGCAGCCGTCTGCAAACGCCCACGGTGTGCTCCAACTCTCTGTTCTTAGCTCCTCTGCTGAGTCACTGCCTGAAGTACGCATTATCATTGTTAATTTTGCATTGATCAAACCCAAATTACCAAGTTTTATTTCAAAATGGTAATTCTTTTCTCTGATCCTTTTCCCCTGGCTTAGAATTTCCTTAATGTGTTTGAGAATAGGGTTTCTATTCAGATTTTAAAAAAGGATTCTACGTATGATCTTAATCAAAAGACCCAGAAGTGATCACAATTTAAAATCAAAATGCTAGAAATGACAGGATGGTGACTGCTACTGCTGAGAACAGGAGAAAATGACCCAATTTATTCTATGCCATTGTAATCCTTTGCCGATTCTGTTATAAACATATATCCAGAGAAAGACTTATTTCCTCAAGCTATGTACAAGGAAATGTATAAGAAAATGATAGTCACTGAATAATTTAATTAAAAAATTTAAGGCAATGCTTCAGTATGTACTCCATGTGCTCTATCTGCAAATCCCCAGGGTCTTCTAACTGGAATATGTAATTGATGAGCCATTAATAGCCCAATTATGATGGTCCTGTAAATCCTGAAAACAAACAATCCAGTGCAACTCATGGGATGGTTCTGCAAAAGTGATTCATAAGCATTCAAATGCTGGCAGAATGGAAGCTGGTTAGGAAGCTGTGAAGCAAAATCCAAAGGCACACACTATTATTGGTTTAGACATGCATATAAAGCACTTGCATGTGTAAGTAGATAGCTAATGGGAAATACAAAAGCTTATTAATATGAATAGGATTAAAAGATGGAGCAGAGACCTATTAGTCTCCTGCTCTTAAAATCATGTTAAGAACCATTTTACACAGTCCTGTTGAAGATGAACTTGGTAACACAAGGCTTTGGGAGGCTACAGTGCTTAATCGCTCTCCTTCCTCATCTGTAGCATTCATCCATACAGAATTTGCAAGATGTTTTGACCATGAAATAGCTGACTGCATTGCTCGTAGAAAAGGAACCTTAACTTTAGGAACGGCTGGTAAAGGGAAGAGCTTATTCTCTGGCGTACACAGCTTCATATCTGTCTTCTGTTGGCTTTTTGAAAGGCTGTGCTTTGGTTACAGTTAACTTATTTACGAATATGAAAGAATGTCTTTTAAAGCAGAAAGTAATTTTAAAGGACACCTAACATTCTTAGGACGCATGAGTTAGATACACATCTTCACAAACACTACTCTTCTATCTTCTTACTACTAATACTGTCCAGAAGCCAGACTCTTTAGTCTCTGGATACTAAATAGGCATACAATAGCCTTCTCCAGCCACAAAGAAGGTGTTCTAAATTCCCCACTAGATGCTAGAAAGTACTGAGAATACTACTGTACTTAAAACTATACACATACATAGACATATACGTGTACGTAGGTATTTGTGCTGTGCTTAATGTTTACCATAGATCTTAGCAATTTCAACATATAATTTTCTTTTCCTTTTCACTTAAAGGAAGCATGTCTGAATTGCCAGCACCACTCCACTTACACTTGGGGCCATTATTAAGGAAAATAAGAATTACTTGGACACGGGTGCTGCAGTATCGCTGTAATCAATCTTAAAATGGAGATACTGCCAAGTGACACTAATGGTTGTGACAGTGCACAACGGATACTGTCTTTCCATTTTCCCCACTACAGGTCGGTGTGGTTTCAGGGCCATGGGTCAAGCATTTATAAAATCTAGGGAAGAAACGAGGAAAGGGTTTAAACAGAAAGATAGAATGACGCTATCAAAACATGGGGCAGAGTTCTGAGAACCTATGTTGTGTCTTCCCACTGCCTTTTTTCCTCTGCATAAAAACACGGCATCTACTATCTTTTGGAATGTTCTCAAACTCAGAAAGGTTAGTCAAGCTTTCTGTTTCCAAAAAAATATTAAGACTTGAGTAGTATATACATCTGTTTTCAAATCACAATGGGTACGCCAAAGCCAAAGGTGCCCCATAGAAGATTTCAGCTCAATGCGAGAAAAGAGCAGACAGAGTGGTGGACAAAGCGAAACAGAGGGTCTGAGGTTCTGTAGAGAGAAATTTCACTACATTCCTTAAGGTTTTCAAGCTCAGGTCCCTCAGATGGCAGAGCTGAGGTGAGGGCTATAGGAGATTCCGGATGGACCCTCATCTGGCCCTTAGAGATAGTCAAGACTCCACAGAGCATATGGCCATTCTAGTATAAGGAATGAAGTTTTAAAACGGAAAGCAGGAGAATATACATAAGAGCTTGGAGCTAGCACAAATGTATCTTTCCAGAGAATTCATGTAGCCCCAAGCAGTCAGACATCTGAATGGGAGAGTAGGTGAGAAACAGGATACAGGCACTTTATATGTCTACTACTTTTGCCTTTCTTGAGACAGGTAAGAGTAATGAGATTACTGGTTTATGGAAAAATGTAGAAGAATACCAAGATTTCATTTTCCATAACTATTCTTTAAATTCTGAATAAAAAGGCCAAGTGCTTAGGCAAGTGATCTGTTTCCACTGTCATAAAAAATAGATAGGCCAGTCCTGCTAATTAGGCAGCACAACGGCTCTGCACGGGATGCACAAGATTCTGGTGCACACATAGTCAAGAGAGAGGAGGAGTGGCCTCAGGTACGTCCAAGGGGCTGGACTGAATTGCAGGTAGTCTCACAGGGAGACTGAAAAAAGTCGCATTTGTTGATTCTCATCTAATGGTTTCTAGGGCATCTATCTTGGCTTACTCTTCACCATATTATAGGTGTCCCTGTTGGTAGGGGAGGGTGGAGGAAAGGTGAGTTATGATATGAAGGCTAAGGAAATGCCATACTGGAGAAGTAAACACAAAGGCAAACAGCAGAGACCACAGAATGAAAAACTAAGCCACAGGCAAAAAGAAATCAAGTCTTATAATTGTCTGTTGCTTTACTACATAATCTTCACACTTTTTAGGAAGTCTCAAGTAGGCTGGGATCTGCCTGAAGCCCCAGTCTGCCTCCTATGTGTTAAGAAATCTGGGTAGTCCCTCTTCCCATTACTATGTAAACCACTTGGACACTGAACTGCCATGTGGCTATACCTGTGCAGGGTTTCCAGGTCATCTCCACGAATAGTCCTTGGTTGGAGTATGATTTTCTGGGAAGTTCCCTGTGTTCAAATTATCTTGTTCTGTTGCTCTCCTTGTGAGGGGGGAGCAGCCTTACCAGGCCACAGTAGAGGACAATGCAGCCACTTTTGATGAGAACTGATAGACTAAGATCAGAAAGAAGAGGAGAACTTCCCCTATCAGTGGACTTGGGGAGTGACATGCATGCAGAAAGGGGAGGGAGGGTGGAATCGGGAGGGGAGGAGGGAGGGGCTTATGGGGGGACACAAAATGAAAAAAGTGTAATTAATAAAAAAAAAAGAAATCTGGGGTCTGCAGAAAGGCAAGTGAGGGAGAAGGTTCAGGCCTATCCCTGGCTCTTCCACCCTTTGTAGACCACTACACTGCAGATCTTTTGGGTGTCCTTTCTTCACAACGTGAGTTTTACTGTGCTCACTCAGCTCTTCCTGTTCACTTGTACCCACAGGGAAGGAATGCTGTGAGTGAGGATAATACTCACAGAAGTGGCCTCTGAAATCACTATGTGCGTGAGAATACCCGTCCTTTTAGAGATGCCAGCACCACAGCTAGCATTTTATGGACTGATATCTAGTTGATTCTTTTTTTAAAGACTTATTTATTTTTATATGTATTAGTAGTTTTTATGCATGTATGTATATACACCATGTGTATGCCTGGTGCCCATGGAGGTCAGAAGAAGGCTTCAGGTGGTTGTAAGCCATTATGTAGGTGCTGGAAACTGAACCTGGGTCCTCTGCAAGAGCAACAATTGCTTTTAACTACCGAGCCATCTCTCCAGCATCTCTAGTTCATTCTTAATTATCAGATACCTTGTAACAATTCATTTGCATAAAGAAACATTAAATATAGTGGGGATAACATAATTGAAGGGCATAAGAACTATGTGTAGAGAAATGGAAATTGAATCCCTATTATTTTGCCTCAAGAAAAAAGATAAGTTAGTGGGCAGGTAATTGTCACTTCCAAAAACAGAAAAAGGTAAATGCAATGGTAGAAAAGCACAAACTTCCTACAAGCACAATTATACAGATGTTGGTAATTTGGCTACTTTGGCATGACGCTGCACTATTAGAATACATGGTCCCTGATGCAGTGTGCTTTGTAAGAAGCACTGTCACAGGCCTGACATGTGACAGTGGAAGGTGATGCCTCCCAAATATGTAGAGCTTGTAAAGCTCTTATTCATGTTAAAGAAGAAATGCTATACATATTTATTAATATTCAAAAAGAATCCTAAAAGAGTGTAAGAGAAGACAATGTATGGAGAGAAACAAAGGCAAAATGGACTCTAGTTCTGGCTGTGGCTAGACTGAAGCGGCTTCCTCTTTGTGTTTCTCAGATTGTACAGAGAAGCATTTAAGTGACTAGACCTGGTGACAAGGTTCAGATATGACTGATAAACAAAGTCCTCTAAACTCCTGGACACTTACTGTCCTGATATGACACTCAGCAGAATGTCTAAGTTTGTTCTGCCAGAGGCTGTTACTCTCTGCACACATTCTAAAAACAAAACAAAACAAAACAAAACAAAAAAACAACCCCAACTCCAAGGAGCATCATCTCCTCACTGACTATACATCCACAGGCACATCTTTAGCTAAAGTCTAATGGTACTGATAGACCACATCACTCTTACAGGCTATTGTTTGGCATTCACAGTGCATTCTCTGTGAACCTAGATGCATTGCATTGAGCATTTGGAAAGAAATTTGGAAAGGAAAGGTACAGATGTTCAAAAGCAAGAAGGGAATGTGTGAAAACAAATTTATACCAGTAGGGACCAGAAAGACAGATGGTCAACACATAGCTGGAATGGAAACAAGAGGCACGTACGTTTGGGTTTCAGCTCTGAGGTCTCGGAACCAGCGCCTTCCCCAGGAAAGGTGACAGGCTCTATGACATCTGTGTCAGGAGGAGGGTAGGGTGGGGGCGGGGGAAGCACTAACTGGGGTGGACCCCGAGCTGTGCCTCTGGGAGGCTTTTGTGGCACCTGACGTCCAACACCTACATGGAATCAATGGGAAGGATTCAAATGTTAAGCCAAAGGAGGTCCTGTCTTCTAACCAAGAGTACACTGCTATTGTCCATCAGACACAAAACCATACCTCACAGCACTCTGCGCCAGAGCAACCATATGCAGTACCAAATCCAACAACAAAGCTAATTTGAAAACATCAAAAAACAGTCATGCCCAACACCAAGTCTAATGCAAAACCAATCACATTCAATTCCAAATCAAATACCAAAGCATTCAGTTTCAAATCCAGCCTCAGTCTGTCCCAAGCCAGCCACACCCAACGTCAAATCCCAGTTCACTCTGCATTAAACCAGCCACACCCAGTATCCAAGCCACTCACTCAGCAGTACACCACAGCCAACCATCTGTATGCTCAAACATTTCACACACACAGTATTCTATTGTCAGCTGTAACTGGAAAAGATTTACTCTCAAATGGTTGGTTGACATTTGTCTCTTTCAGGCATAATTCCATGAAATGCTGGTCCTGAAACAACTGGAGGCAGCACAGTCAAGTGAAGAGCCACTATTGTTCACACCGGCCTTTTCTAAGCTTACAGATCTCATTCAGTTATTATTGAAGGACAGTGCAGGAACATGGGTTGCCTCTATCAAGCACTTCCATTTTTTTTTTTTAGGACAAAAGTCTTGAAACTTTTTTTTGAAGTGGGTTCCAGGTTACAGAAAAAATTAAGGGTGCTCAGCCCACCTGCATTTTGTCTCAAGAATCAGAGAAGCCCCTTGGTATTTGTTACATGTTGGAGGCATATTTATAAGTTTATATGAAAGTAGTCTTCTTATGCTAATGGTTTTGTAAAAGCCAGTGGCTTAAGTTCATAAATGACATGAATTATCTTAATTTATGTTCATAAATGATAAAAATTGTCATAATTCATGTTTATGATTGTGTTTTAAAAATAATTGCTTCAAGATTTACAGTTTAGAAAAATCTTCTAGCAATACAGTTGATGATTTTTGACCTTCACCATATAACTAAAATATTGAGAAACATCTTCACTAAGAAATATACTCATTTATTCCTTCTGTGGATATGGTTTTCTAGATGTGGGAAAATCTTTAACTTCTTCACATTAAAATCATTTCTTCCCCAAGATACAAGTAAGTCTGGGTGGTGCTGTTGGCGGCCCTTGGCAAGCAACCTTGTGTCAGAAAGTATTCATATAAGGTTGTACCACGGGACACTGGGAGAATGTTTCCCACTCCAAGATTTATTTGTGATTATCAATAAATGCGGCCCTTGACTCAAATGTAGGTAACTACAATACTATTTTACTTCATGTTCCAAAATAAACCTTTAAAAAATATAGATGTCTGAATAGAAAAATCATCAACTTTGTGCACGTGTATGTATGCATGTACACACGGAACACATGTGTGAAGAAACTGTCTTTCGTCTAACCTGATACCTAGGTTTTGCTGCTGTCTTCTGTGGGACATTGTTAATATCGTCTTAATTCATGGATTCTTCCCATGAAGGGGGGTGGGTGGGAAATTCATCTTCTCATTACCCACAAGACCTTGTCTACCAGCCCTTGCCTTCAAAGGGCAACATCATATTTAGAAAGAAAGGGATTCTGGCTTTCTTGTCCGCACAAACAAGTTATAGACCAGGTCAGAGAAAGTATGGAGAACTGCCACCATCCACACCTCTTTGCAATGTCTTTCAATGAAGGGATGTTAGTACAGTTTTTAGTTTCAGACATCTGTCTCACATTTTTGCTGGCCTCTATGGGCACCAGTTGATCTCTTGTCCAGCATGGGCCCAGGCACAGGGACTATGAGTCTTTCCTGCACTGGAAGTGGGGTGTTGGGTTTGGAGGCTGCCTTAACAAATCCTATGATAATTAAAGTCAGTACTTTAAAAAGTTCCACAATTTCTCTCTTAAAAGTGAGATGTTTGTCCATTTATAAAAGGGAAGGAGAGAGCTTAGAGGGAGGAAAGGGCTCTAATCATGAAATTAGAAAGTACAGCTCAAATGAACTGGCAATATTGTTTCTTTAAAAGTTGTTTTTATCCTGTCCGTCTATCTATCTATCTATCTATCTATCTATCTATCTATCTATCTATCTATCTATCTATCTATCTATCTATCTATCTATGTCTATCGTGTGTATGTATGTGTATGTGTGTGTGTACATGTACACAGGTCAGGGCACGAGTGGCATGTGGACATCAAAGCTCAACCTGTGGAAGTTCTCTCCTTTTACATGTAGGTTCCAAGGATCAAACTAGAGTGTTAGGCTTGGTGGCAGGAGTCTTTATCTTTGAACCACCTCTCCAGCCCACGTTTTTCATTCTGATATAGTCCTCTGAGAAATGGGATGAACTGATGTGAAAAACAGGTTATTACTTTTTAGGATAATTGATTCTCAGGATGCCAGGCATTAAAGGTAAAGTAGCAACTAAAGTGAAAAATGCTGACAAACGGCCAACTCACCCTTATTAAAATTTCAAGACTTGACAATGTAACCATTTACATTTGGGAGTGTTGTCCCTTTAGGGTCACAGACCCTTTGTCAATGAAGAAACAATGAGCTGCCTGAAGCCATGAATGGGCAAGGTTGCCTCCTGGCTTCAATCAGGGCTCTGATGGAACTTTTAATGATGGGAATCTCAGTAAGTAAATCGAATGCTGCAGTCTTCTAATCCCTTCTCTGCAAAGGCTAGCTGCACTCCTACTATAGTGAAAGAGTGGATACTAAAGAATTTTAAAATGGGCCTGGGAAGTCCAGCCCTTCTCATATTCCCCCATGATCTACAGCACACAGGGTATGGTTTAATGACCTCATAGATTACACCTTGCTTACAGATGTCAGGACTCCATCCTGGTTCTTTTGAGTTCTCTTCTCTCTACAATGGGGCTTTACTAATGCATGAATGGTATATAAACTGGGACTATTTTCAAATAGGAATGCACAGGCTGATCTCCAAATGCTCAGAACCAGATGTGTTTTAGATTTCAGATTTTTCTAATTTTAAAATATTTGCACATACATGATGAGGTATCTTGGGGATGGAACTCCAGTCTAAATATGAAATTCATTTATAATTCATATGAACCTTATATACAGAGCTGAAGGTAATTTTATGTAACTTTTAAATAATTTTGTTCATGAAACCCAGCTCCATGGTACAGGTTTTTCTACTTCTGGCATCATGTTGATGCTCAAACAATTTCAGATTCTGAAGAATTTCAGATGTCATACATTCAAATTAGGAATGTACATCTTCTATGTACCATGAGTGGCCTAAGATGTCTTTCAAATGACAATGACAAACACTTCTTCAAACAGCTTCTTCAGACATTCTCCAGTCAGAGAGACACATGCCACGGCCACACACATGAGCTCTGTTTGTCACTTTCTCCTGGGGTTCTGGGTTCTTTAACCACAAGCCACCCTCACCACCATCTTTCACCTCCTCAACACCTTCTGCAGTATAAATAAGATAGCAAGGAAAGTCAGAGCTAATCATTTCCAGACTTTTCTTTAGCATACATGTTTTCTGGGTTAATGTAATTAACAAGGACTCCACTGCCAGGGTTAACAATAGCGCTAAAGACCTGAGTGTTAAAGCAGGCATCCCAGAGACATGCACAGAGCAGGCCACACTCACTCACCCATGGTGCTCTTCCTGTTCTCTTCCTTATCCTCTTTGCGGTTGGGGACCACAGGACTTGGTGGGGGTGGCTGTGGTGGAGGAGGAGCTGGTGCCCTCCTCTTCTTCTTCTGCAGATCAGCTTGTGAGCTGAGGGAGGCCTAGGAAGCATAAAGAACAGCAAGGATTAGTTGGCATGTAAGAGGCAATCCATACGTAGAATGCATGCATGCATGCATGCATGTATGTATGTATGCACACATGGCCATGAAAGGAGAGCTGTCATACTGCTTGTCCAGTTCTGGTTCTCTCAAGCAGGTGTGGTCTTTCACACTTCGGTGTGCATCTGACGTGGCAGAATGATGCCTGCAAGTTCCCTACCTCCCTAGTCTGTACAACAAGTGCCCATTTTCTAGGCATTCTGAAGACTTGTTAACTTCCTTAGAGTATGAGTGAGAAAATGACCTTGTCCTTACTGAAGTACAAGAGATAGCTTCTTCATTCTGGAATAGGATCAGGGCAGTGTAGATCAAAGTTCATGTCCCTTTCTGCTTCTTCACGAGGACATCCCAGAATAGCCAGGACCAGCATGAGCCACATTATGCCCCCTCTGCTTCTAGGCTCACAATGAAGCATCTCTGTATGAGGCCCTTAGACCAAGATATAGGATATCAATCTCCCATCCAGAACAGAATTCCAGCTGTGGCTCAGAGATGATGACAATGAAATCCTAACAGTAACAACAGCTCCCTAGGCAGATATCACTGGTGAAAGTAAAACCTGATTTTGTCTGTAACCCACTGATTGCAGTTCCTTGAGTCGGAGGACTCTATTCTCTCCCCTTCCTCCTCGCACTCAAAGTTGTCATTTGTTCATTCTCACTTGATTGGAATTCATCTAAAAGGAAAGGCCTAGGTACAGAGCATAACTTCACTCTTTTCCTGTCTTCAGTTCTAGCCAAATCCTGTCCAACCATTAGTAGACCTTTCCAGGGCTGGAGACCGTAGTACATTAGGTCTCATCTGGGTGTTCTCTGGCTTAGTGATTCCAGCATGCATCAAGAGCACTAGAATATAGTATCAATACAGCAACATGCTACAAAAAAAAAAAAAAACACTTTTCTTGATTAGAAGTGTGTATATATAAAACATTTATAAATTTTATCAGTAATACACATTTATTTTAAAAAATTTAAAATGTATATGCAAACAAAGGCTAGAAAAATCATTTGTTTAGATTAAGTACTAATAGTACTAACAGTTGCCATATTTTTTTTTTTTTCTAATTTTCAGTCTTCTCTTTTAAAAGTGATGCCTTTTTATTTCCTGGTACTATAATATACCACAACAGTCTCCTATGTTTTCAAAGTTCTTTAGTATACTTTGCATAAAAAGAGGGCCAAACATAAACTCAAAACAGCCCTTTGAAGCTTAGTTGTCAGTGAATCTTGGTGAGCACCTCCACTCTATTCCTTTAGAATTCACTGCTTCACCATAGAGTACAGTTCCTATGAGCTCTTGATTGGCATATGCGAAAGAGTTCAGTCTTTCTGTTCCAGAAGATGGGGGCTTAGTTCTTATACACACAGAGAGCGGGGTGATTTTTCTTCTCCATTGTGCCCCTGAAACTGCAACCCAAGACTTCAATCATCATCCACTATCTAGCTCCTCAATAGTCCATCCTCATCAACAGGTTGTTTCTTTACCTGAAGGCAACAGTGGTTCAAAATTCTTAAACAGAACACAAGCAGTTCTTAAGGTTTCCCCTGTGCCCAGCTCTGAAGGAGAAGCACCACACCGCCCTCCTGCCTCCTGCCTGGGGTAACTGACTTGTGACCTAACTCTCTTTTCCTAGCTGAACTTCCAGGAAATTCGCTTTTTTAATACTCTGTTGGTTTCCTGTTTATGGAACAAGCTGTACATGAAAATGTTTGAACCTAAAAGCATTCCAATCTTAAAATGTCTTTATTCTAAATCATTCTACGTGGGTACAGAGGACAAAACCAATTATGAAATACAGGAAACGTCCAGGCCAGCCGATTCCTAGTCTGCCCATGTGCCCACAGGGTACCAACCTCACGGAGGCTCAGTCTTCAGTATGCTTTTGGCTTCCCTGCTGCGGACCTGCAGTGCTCACTCACCTTTGCACCCAGACATTCCACGCTGTAGCACGGCATGCTCTTTTCACGCTTCTCTGAGTTATTTGTACTCCTGCAACCTGCAGAATTTTCTAGTTTTACCCTGCAGCCTTTTCTTACTTTTATTCTCCCTCTCTGAAAATGGAGGAAATCAGTTGAACATGGAGGACTGTGAACCAATTGTTCTTGTTTTCTTTCCCCCCTTCTAGTGCTCATGCTTCTTTCTTGGAAATTTCCTTTATTTGACTCCCCGCCCTTGTTGAATGTTCAAGTATGCTGCAGCATATTTAATTTCCAAGATATCTATGTATTTTAAAACCAGCAATATGGTCTTCTTTCTTGGGTATATTTTCACTTTCTCCTTGACAGCATTACATATATAACATTTTTATTTTCATGATTTTTAATTTATTTCATCACATACATATGTATATATTTACATTTAATTTTCATTGTCCAGATATCAGAAGTCTTTGTAGATTCATCCTTAAACATACCATGTATATAATTCTGTTGTAAAGGATATTTTTCCATTATTTTTTTTAATTTTTAATTATACTTTATATCCTTTGTATCCCCCCTCTAGTTCCCTCCCTCCTCCCCTCCCAAACACTCCCTTCTTTCCCCTTCTCCACACACTTCCCTCCCCAAGTCCACTGGTAGGGGAGGGTTTCTTTTTCTTCCTTCTGATCCTAGTCTGTTAGGTCTTATCAGGAGTGGCTGCACTGTCTTCCTCATGATTTTTAACTGTACCTGTTGTTATTTTCCTATGCGTCTCTCTCTCTCCCCACCAGCTCTCCTTCTATGCCCACATCTGTCTCTTATAATTTCATTTTAACTTGCCTTCAAATATCTGTATTCCTTGGCTGACTGCTTACAATATATTGCTTTGGAGGGGAGAGTCCGTTCATGTACTTACAAGATTCCCTGGAGCATCTGGGCAGAAATCTGGTTAGCTGACAGGAAAAAGTTACACATATCTACCTGTGCATATTTTCTAAGTCAGCCATACCCACACAGAAGGGGTCTCAGGTGTTCTTCCTAAAGCTGGGCTCTTAGGGTGCAAAATCCAACAGGAGAAGAAGGCCCTGAGCCCTCTTACACTACGTGGAGCACACTGTCTGGTACTGACTTAGCCATGTCTGATGTCTGGAGCTATCCTTTTGAGGCTGGGAGCATGGCTGCCTGGGAGAAAGGATCACATGGTCTCCATGCTCAGCTATGTAACAGTCGGTTGCATTTTGTACTCTTGGGTGCAGTGGAGTCTGCCCCCAATTCGCTAGCCTAGTGGGGTTCTGGGCCTGTCTGATGCCTGTGCTACTCCTAGAAGCCAATATTTATCTTCTCCCACTTTGCCAAGTGTTTATCATAGCACCTTCTGAAAGCCATCATTCTTTCACTCCTTATTGTCTAAAATTATTTAAAAATAATTTAAAAATATTTTAAATTCATTTTAATGGGGTTTCAAAAGGAGAGACATTAATTTGTTTTATAAGCCATATTTTTATTTTCAGATTTACTGAAGTACACTTGATAAGTAAACATTACATATATTTGAGGTGCTGAAATTGATGGTTTGCTATATGGATAGATTATAAAACAACCACAAGCTACTTAATACATATATACTCTCACATGCTTACTGTTATATTATGTTCAGATTTTCTTTCCCCCTCCCTCCATCACCTTATCCTGTATGTACACTTTCAAGTGTTTTCTTGACTGTTGCTCAGTTGAACAGATGAGGCATCAGGAAGTAGGACTCTTGCCTTTAGATGAATGTTGAAAGTATGTTTTTTTATTATTATTATTTTTACAAACTACCTTTCTCAGAACACTCTCAAGTTTCTTTCCCCAACCTTCGTCTTTTCCTTTCTTCTTCTGGATTTCCATTGAGTATATTGTCTTAGCTTCTCAAATAAAGATGTAAAATTCAGGGTTAAAACTAGAGTACAAAGTTATGTATCCCAATTTAAAAATGGGATTACATATCCTAATTTAAAATTTTCAATAGTAGGTGGAAGAATATGAAGCCCTGGTCCTTGTTCTGTAGAAGCAGCCTGCAAAGCAAAGATTCAATGAGAATGCCTGTGATCAGCTAGGAGGTTGCAGCACCTGGACTACTCAAGCAGGAACACCCAGATTAATGTGAAGTAAGAGAGATAATATATCTGAAGTACTGCATCACTTTCCCAAAGGCCATGACAGCTCAGCTGTCCGTTGGGAGGAAGGAGAAGGAAAACATAAGGCCACTCTCCAGATTTTAAGAAGGGTTGCTTAGGCAGGCACTGGCTCTGTCTGAAGCGACAGGATGGCTCTTTAAGGAGCCAATGTCATTTGGATGTGGGTAGGTGGCAAAATTTAAAGACTTGTCATTCCAGAGCTCAGAGACCTGGTGTTGCCACCAATGCAGGCTGGCACAGTGTGGCACTATCAGGAGTGCCAGGTTACAGATTATTCATGGGGATTGTCTAAAAGAGTGTGAAGGGCATGAGGCTGCATTCAGCATGGCTCAATTTGTTTTGGTCACATTTGACTGGGAATGGCTGGGAGCAATTCAGTTCTGTACCTGGAGAGTTAACAACCAAGGGAGCCTTGAGACTGATTGCAATGTCAGAGAACTGCAGTACCACAGACAAACACCAGAGGGAGAAGAAATTATAAGCTACTTGAAAAAAAGAAATCACAAACATTCTGTCTGGAAATGAGGCCAGAGAAAATTCAAACACAAGCAAAGTTTCAGATCTGTCCCAAGGTCGGCAGATAGACTTACTACCCTGATGAACCATAAAATGCTATGCTTTAAGGTCTAGGAGAATGAGTGTTTTGGTTTTTTTGTTTTGTTTTGTTTTTGTTTTTTTGGTTTTTTTTTTTTTTAGTTAGTTTGTTTGTTTTCCTTTTTCTAAATGTACAATTTACAATAAGAAATAAAAATAAAAACCTACGCCAAAAAGCCAGAAAACTATCCTGAAAAAAAGCAACAAATTACATCTCTAGAAAACAGTCCCAAAGAAATAGAAATTG